CCGTGACATTATCCCATGTGCATGCATTATGATACGACTAATTGTAAATGTTTATTATCAAAGTTCCATCAAACTTGTGTGGCTGTGTGTGTGTGTGTGTGTGGAGGGGGAGGGAGGAGTGTGTTTGTGTGTGCGTGTGTGTGTATGCGCGTGTGCGTATGTGTGTGTTTGTGTATGAGTGTGTGTGTGTGTGTATTTGTCTTATGGATGAATTTATGTGTGTTTGTTGAATATGCAAGTTGAATTTATGTTTGCATGTATGTAGTAGCGTGAGTATGTGTGTGAGAGGGAATTAAATAAACACACACACACACACACACACACACACACACACACACACACACACACACACACGCGCGCGCGCGCGCGCGCGCACACACCTGAAAATAGAAAAAGAATAGGTAAAAACAAGAAAGGGCGAGAATGAAGGAGTATAAATTGTATACATTATCCCACTCATGTTAAAACTATAGATTAGATGTTTATAGTGATAAAATAGTGAGCAATTTTCTGGCTCACTTAGTGTACTAATTTTATACCCAACCTTTAATGGGTCTTTTAAAATCTTTTTATAACAGTATCGCGTGATTTTGCATCGTTTAAAAGGCTCCTGGGCCTCTAATAAAAGAAACACACTGCTTGATAACCGTGAATGCAACACGGCAATTCATAATGTCCACTGATAAAATTAGTGAATTCCCCATTATTATTATGGAATTCACGAGAGCATCAGGCGAGATTCGATAACAGAGATCGAGAATCCCACACTATTTTGAAAGAATGACCATCAAAAGTAAAATAGATTTAAGTAGATTAATATCATTCTTTATGACAATGACAATCTTTATTCGTCTGTCTCGCAGGGAGAACTTTGTTTTGGTCGTTTACTATGGAAGCGGATGTTACAAAGAGTTAGAATCTAGTCATTATATCGCAACATGGGTCCTGGAATTTTCGACAGACCACAATATGTTGCTCAAAAGGTACTGGATGAGATTTATCTATTTAGTTTATGTCTTGAACACCAAATGACGAGAAAATCAGTTTTCTTCTCTCGTGTAAAAATTTAATTCGTATTGAATTCACGATTTCATCAGGCGACCGATGATACAGAGGAACTCGGATTCAACGAACTTGGATTCGACAAAATCCCGGATTCAACGAAAGGAGAAGGATTTTCAGTTTCGTTAATTCATTCAGATAAATAAAATTAACTCGATTTCAACGAACATATAAATGAGCAAGCTCGGATTTATCAAAGTCGCTTGTAGGGTGACCAGTTCCCGTGGACGTGGCTTCCCTCATTTTTCTCTCGTAATGAACTTTGACTATTCCTGGATACCATCCATGGCATCGGTATCATGAATCATTTTTCGTGTAGCCTGTTGTATATATAATATGTTATGCGACCAGTAAGCGGCCTTCTTTCAACACACCCATTGCTGGTACGTACACGTGTTTTAGCGTGTGTTGGGGTCGGAATGGCGGCCAGCACACGTGTGACTGTATGTGCGTGTGTCTTGGGGGAAGGGGGGAGGGTGTCTCACAAGCGGTCCTGGGATGAACGACAGTAGATCTAGTCAGTAAAAATGCAAACGCGTCACAGTACTCACAGAAAATTTTTCCCCAGCTACTGATCCATATTACAGTGATAAGCTAGTCTTGACAAAGATCTACCTAACGAATTGCGCGCTAGTCTGTAGAATCAAATGTTGCCGTATGCTAGACTATTCACAGCAACACAACTTGTTCGGGAAAAAAATCGTCAGAGATGATAGATGACATATGCGTGCTTTTGAAATGATCGGAACTTTTGCGCAGCGTGTGCTTGGTAGGGTTTGTTTTTATTAGAATTTTCCAGTACATCTACAGTATGGCATCAAAGAAACAAAAATGCCTCCCATTTGAAACCAAATTACTTTTGATTAAGGGAGTCAACATTACTTGCTCAGTGCCTGTACATTTTTACACAGACACTTCCTATTTGCTATAAGGAACACCCATATTCAAATATTCAAATAAATCGAAGGTCAAGCTCGACGACCTCGTTGAATCCGAGTTCCACTGTATCAGTTATATCCCTTATCC